ATATTTATATATATTATATAATATATATATATATATACAAATATATAGCATCGACATAAAAGAGGAATTCAATCAGTCTACGTGTTCAAAAGACCCAGAGCGAGTGCGGATAGGGAAAAAGCGCGGACAACGGCCGCCTCTCAAGCTCGGTCCCAAACGAACATAACCCTCGAATAAAAAACAAGAAGGGAGGCATTGATGAGAGCAGAGGAAGACAAAAAAGAGGATGGGGACACACAGAAGCCTCTAGATTCCTGCTTACTGTGTTTGGGCGCACGCGGAGGCCCCACTTGTAGTAGTAGTTGTTGTTGTTGAACTTCTGTTTTTTTTTCGGCAGTTTTGGCCTCCTCCATCACACGCCGTTCACGCCCCCACCGTTGTCCGCTGCACGCCCACCGCCACCCCACCCTCAGGCCAGCATCAACACAGAACAAAACGGAAAAAAAAAAAACAAAAAAACACACACGTCTCCCACCGCAACAGCAGACAATATGGCGTGGCGAAAAAAAAGAACCATAATATTCGACCCCATTCCGTTCGTCATGCATGTGCCCGATTCAAACAAAAAAAAAAAAGAAAAAGAAATCACAACAAGCACAAATGAAAGTCAACAACAACAATAACAACACACACTTCATTCGTTGGCGTCTGCATGATAGCATTAAGACAATTTGGTGCATGCACAAATCACACACTATCAGCGCCCGAAAAATTTTGGGTGTAAAAGGGCAACGGCGCCAAACGAGGCAACGTGAAAAACAAATCAATAATCTTGTTCTTTCATCCCGTTGTTTTGGGGTTTCGAATGATGATATAAATTGGAAAGAAACGGCATATAACAAAACAAAAAGGAACCATATGATGGTAAAGAACATCGCCACCACATGCCCCGTGCACAAAAATGGAACAAAGAGGAAGAGCGAAGCACCATGTGGAAAGGAAGAAAGAGAGCGTAATGAAGGAGGATTGGATCACCAACCACATGGTACATGGTACCGGGAACAAGTCGTGGCATACATCCTTCACTTTTCCTCATTGAACCACACAACGGCCTAGAGCCCAGGTGAGGCAGAAGCAATCAGGCAGCTGTTGTCCAGCGTCGTCGCTGGTGCACATCGTGTGGCAGGTGCCGCAAATGTATTGAGGTTGGCGACAAGAGTGGCAACCTCTCCTGTTGCGAGGGTGACGCCTCCGCGCATGTGGCCGCCGAGTGAGTTAAAGTTTCTGCCGCAACAGCGTTGCTATTTTCTCCCCCGCGCGTAGCTCCCTTCAGCTTCCTTTCCGCCTCGGCAGTCTCTCGTTTCAGCTGCATGCTCAGCAGCTTGTTCTGCATGGGGAGGAGCGCCTCCACGTCGAGCGACGGCGGCAGCGGCCGCTGTTTCTTTGGCCTTCTCGTCCTTTCCGCGGCAACCTGCACACTCTCCGGAGAAGCCGCAGAGAGGGTGCTTACTCCTGGCTCGTTGTTTTCGTTGTCAAGGACGGCCGACCCGAATACAACGGAGCGACCTAATCCACCGTCGGTCGATATTCGACTTCTACGCGACACTGATCGTCCTGACGAACGGCGGCGGGGCTCCCGCCTCTCAAATTGATTCCTGGGCCGCCGGAACGCCGGGGCAGCACCGAAGTCCTCGGGTGCCCCTTCGTTCCATGGTGAATTGTCCCTCGCATTGCTCGGCATGGACGAGAAGCTCACCGTTGGCCCTGGCTCCCCACTGACATGACCTTGGCTGAACGACGTCGAACTACCACCCTGCAACGTCTTACTGTTGTTCTTCACGAGAATGCTCCCCGACAGCGACGCGGTCATGCTGTTTCTGGCTAACGGTGGCAATTGGTTCAGATCCAATGACGCCCGAGCCTTTGGATTTCTCTTAAACAACACGACGTCGTCGCTTTCCAACCCAGTGGCGACGTGCTTGTGTGTCAATGGCTCAAGGTGTTGTCCGACGGAGGAAGCGGTGACGGGGCTGGAGGGGCCGCTGCTGTGGCTCTCACCTGGAGTTGCATTTCCGGGGAAATCTTCGCGCAACTCCGTTTTGGAGGCGTCTACGAGTGAAGCCCTTTTTTTCTTAATGATATACTCAGACAGAGTTTCCACGGTGGTGTCAACATCGGTGCGTTGGCTCTGTGTCGCAAGTTCCTCGTTGGGCCGTTGGAGTTGCAGCTGGAGGGCCTCAATGGACCGCTGCATTACCATACGCTGCTGAATCTCGTGGGCAAGCTGCTCCTCTAGGTGCTCCACTTTCAGCATGAGCGCGCGCACAAAGGTGGTGCATTGTCCCACCTGAAGTTCCTCGCTGCTTCGCCTCCGCCTATTACTGTGCGATGAGGGCTTGCTGTTCAGCAAAGATGTTGTGTACGTGTCCGTCGAGTCACTCTGATGTTGCTGCTGCTGCTGCTGCTGATAAGCGACCTTGTGGGCAACGCGGAGAGCAGCCTCGATGCGTTGTTCAAGTTGTGTCTCTCGTTCTTCGAGGCCAATGACTCGTGACAAAACATTGCTATAGCGTTCTGACGTAGCAGCGGTGTTCGACATCACAAGAGAAGAATGAGTTGATATGCTCTCCATTCTTGCACCTTATTCCTCTGCACCTGGCGTCTTCTGTGATACTCTACACCTCCCTTCAACCACAGCTTTGCCACACGCGTCGGCGCACGCCGTTTCTCGCTGTTTCTTTCTTGTACCTCTATCAGTAGGCTGCTTGCACTGTAAGATGAAAAAAAGAAAGGAGGCACAGTAATAGTGGCAAGGGCAAATGAAGAACAACAAGTAGTCACACATGTTCGATTGAGTGGTGCACGTCAATCTGATGGCAGACCGTCACTCTTTTCACCTCATAGGGAATGGAGCATATTCCCTCACCAACAGATGTGTCACCCTTCGGTCTCTGCACTCATACGTGTAGATGCCAAAGGTGCCCTTGCCGATGCAAACCGATGGTACAGTTGGGCATATTTTTCGATAATCTCAATTACGTCGCGGTACTCAGCGACGAACACCGCTGGAAGGAAGTCCAGTGGGGGAACAAACTTATACACCACAACCTCCTCCCTTACCCTCTTTCCACACGGGTGACGTGCGGATCGATGCTTCGATTGCCGACATGCACGAATACGAGGTACGTTAATGAATTCTTCTTCCTCCTCAGTATCACCCGACTTCTCTTCCAGCAGCGACGATGAGGACACGCTGCCACATCTCCAGTCAGTCTGCCGCACCTCATCAACGTCTAACTGACGTTGTTCCACCCCATCCTCGGCCGCCTTTGAGAGCAGCAGACTTTGATATCGTGCCGCCTCTGCCTGCGCCAAGCACAGCTGGTAGCGAGTGATCTGCAGCTCTTGGCGCAGTCGTTCAATCTGCTCGGCTGCGTCCATCCGACCCTTGTGGCGGGCCACAACGCAGCAAAAACAAGAAGAAAGGAAGACAGGCAAATCGGTATCCGATTGGGGTCACGCAAAAAAAAAGGACAATATTCGCTACTCTGTCATGACAATTACCTCTCTCCGATCAAGGAACCTATAAAGCAGCACGCATAATTGCCACACAGAAAGTTGAAAGCAAAAGCAAGAATAGGGTTTCCCAGCCATCATTCTTCTGGCGCTGGATATGCATCTTTCACTGCAGTTGCAACAGAAGGAACTCAATGAGCTGGGCATACCGAGTGCGCCCATACTATGACCGATCTTCACCAAAGGAGCTGCTGCTGCTGTCGTATGTGCCACACGGGGGGCAACGAGAAGAACACACCACACGCACTGCATCACTGCCTTTGTAGCAACGCAAACATCCCGTGACGCCTAACATCTCTCGCTGTAACTTGTAGAAACACCGCTTATGGTAGCACGCCCCGCACCTGGGGCAACTGCGAACGTGCAAGAGATCGAAGGAGTACACTGTAAAGAGATGCGATGCTCCAGGGGCGTTTGTCCACACACTTTGAAACGCACGTCGTGAAAAAGACGCAGAAGACAACGGAGACGAGTTATCATCTTCCCTCTCTTGCTGCCGTTCCTGTTGCTGTTGCTGCTGCTGCTTTTGCCCTTGATCTCGCCCCTGTTGGAACGCCGTCACCACATCAGGCGGGCAACACCAACGGCAGACGTCAAGACTGTTCCGCAGGCACACGTCACATTGTCTCCGCAGGATGTGGTAGACCATCTGCGCCCGCAGCCGCCTGAGGAACACCGCCGCGTCACAGCAGCTGACCGTCACGGCCATCGGGCGACTATAGGACGCCACCTGCACGGTAAACGCGGAGACCGCATCACAGCCGTCCGACGCGTCTGATTGGCAACGGTGCACGTCCTCAAGATCGGCGAAGGACCACACCTCACTGTCCTCCATCAGGTACCGCTTATCGCGCTGCACGAAAAACTCACGGTGCAGCACGCTATCGTCGTCGGCGGCGGTGGTAGTAGCGGCGGCCGAAACGGAGGAAGCGGCAGCCAAGCAGCCTCCAGATGTGTGTTTCAACACCGCGTCCTCGTTGTAGAAAAGGTGGCGGAACACACGGCACTGTACGCCCACCTCACGCAGCGCCATAACTTGCAACCGCAAGTATCGTATCATCTGCAGCAACACGACGCGGTGGTACAGCTTCGGGTTCACCGCCGATACGCAGTAGAGCGGCCGCTCACGTTGCAGCTCCATAAAGTCAAGGGCGTCATTACACACCGGCAGCGGCTGAAAGTCCCACATGTGAAGAGCTCGCGCCGGAATAGCGCTCGTTCTCCCAGAATGACAGTTGGTGCAGTAGTACATGCCGGTGTAGTAACAGAAGCGTGCAGACTTCCAAGACGGAAAGGGGAAATGACGTTTGCGTAATGGACAGAGGCAGCTTTTGCAGTAGCAGCCCTGCAATTCCAAAGCCGCCTCCTTCGCCCGTATCCCACGCGGCTTCTCATGTACAACAGTGGAAAGACACAAGAGGTGCCGGGTGGGGGATTCTTTGCTGCTGTGTGGCTGCGGCATGTCTGCTAAAATTGAAACCTGCGACGGATGCCACGTGCGGAACGAGCGCCAATGCACGCTCTCCTTCTGCTGCTCCTGTTCTTCCTCCTGCACACATTTCTGTAAATCGCATTGTTGATGTTCCTGATGCCCCTCCTGCCGCAAATGGTCAAGTTCCATGTGGACTACAGTCACTTCTCCCCCAGTCGCGCAACTTGCAATGTTGCTCACCGGCACCTCACTCCTTGTACTGCGGAAAGCGTCCTCGCCAGAGGCTGCAGCAGTGGCTTCAGTAAAACAGAAAGACACAACGTCAGGTTGCAGCGACACACCCCTGCAGTCATCATGCTGCTGCACAGACGCCTTGGGGGAAGGTGGCGTCCAGTCAAGACTGCTGCTGCTCGCCCCGCCCCCATCCTCCGCTCCGTTCATAGAGCGATGCGCCGCAGCGTCATACTCTCGTTCACAGTCACCGTCACCAGCCTGCTTGAGTGAAACTGCATTGAGTATATGCTGCTGGTGCTGTATAAATTGATGCAGCCATTCCAGGTACCGGAGACGCCGCCACAACCACCGCTGCTCCTCGGCCTGCAGATTCTCGTTTTCACTGCGCATGCACGTTTTTGATGCAGTCGATACATTTGGGCGTAATTCCTCCATGGTGGAGCGCGCGCGTCGAAGCAGCGCCGCCACCTCGTTACTCACTGCCTCGGCTACGCGCCCGTTACACCCCTTGTTGCAGCAAGCTGCTTTCTCATTCGCATTGTGCTCCATTGCTGGCCGTTGCGTTTTAGACAAGAACCGAGCTGCCACAATCCGCTTGAAGTCAGGTGATACGACAATCATAATAGGGGGAAAAAAGAAAAAACGAATACTAAAAACACAGATGTGTTAGCTGTAATTGAAGAACAGCATGTTTCACTTCAACGCCCCTTAGTTATTCTCGTCACCCCTCCTCCCCCATCAAAAACAAAAAAATATATTCACAAAAGCAAACTATACGCCAACACAACAGAGACCCGCCCATACACTCAAGACAGCGCCTCCATTGCCTTCTCAAGGCGACGGAACGCCTGGAGGCAGCGTTCACTGTAATCACGGTAAAAAGCCTTTTCTGAATCCTGCGTAGAAAACGAGACACAACCGTTGTTTTCGCACTTCGGCGAACCACAAAGACGTTCGAGTTCCGAAAGCATGCGCACAGTTTTCTCAACCGCCGTTTCCCCTCCCGACGACTCACGAACAGCAGCGGAGCCCGAAACACCAGACTCATCCAGAATATGTTCATACAACAGGTCACGGTACAATTCGGTTGCCCGCACAAGTTTTTGCTGTTCGGAAGCATCAGCACCACTCACGGAGTCCCTATCACGCTTGCTGATCCCCACCACGTCACTATGCCACCTATTATTCTCGCCTGAGAACGTTTCGCGGTGATTTTCATCAATTTCACAACTCTCTTCAGAAACGTCACATTGAGATGAACGCAACAAAAGTTCACCCCTTTTAAGTTCTGCATGTGCAACCCTAAGTCTGCGCGCCAGAGCCAGCAATTTCCTCTCCTTCTCACGGACCCTGGAAAAACGCTCCTCAAGATACCTCTCACGAACGTCGAGTTCAAGTCCTAATTTCCACGAATTACCAGCATCATCAACACCACCACCGACACCAACCACAAAATCCGAGGCTAATAATTCCAACGGGCTCTTCTCCTTCAAAGAGCCACAAGCCTCAAAGCCAACAGCACCTGCAGACTCCGCATCATTACTCCCCACTTGTCCACAGGAATCTTCAAAGCCAAAGAGACCCGCCCCGGGTTCATCGCGATCTGCGGTCACCTCACTCAGGCAGCTGTGCAGTTCAGCCATACTGGCACGCAGCTCATCACGCTCCATGGTCAGCTCACCAAGGCGACACTGCAGTTCAGTGGAAGTAGCACGCATCCGCTCACGCAGTTCATCGCGCTCCACGGTCACCTTACCCAGGCGGCTGTGCAGTTCATCGCGCTCCACGGTCAGCTCACCCAGGCGGCCCTGCAGTTCAG